GCTAGAAGAATGCATTGAGGGTGTGGTTATGAATCATTAGCCTTTCACAAAGTCCCATATTTATCTCATACCTTTTGTAAAAGCTAATACAGATCAGATTGCAGACCAACTTGCTCCTGGTAAAGGATCTGAGCATTTTAAACAAAAGGTTCTCTAATCATCATTGGTCACAATGTAAACCTTTTTTCTAGACAAGGAACATCCTTGGTGAGTAAGGGATTGTCAAAATGCCAGAGGAGTTTTTCAAAAAAATGTAACACAGCCAACATCTTCAATTTCCCCCACAAATAAATGTTCATTTGTCTTGGAAGAGCAAATCCCTGCAATAGTGGCTCTGTAAATGGGAGGTCATTGAGTGAATGGGATGGTGGTCTTAGATAAAGAGCACACCAAGCTAATTGTAAAAGGCTAGAGGAATAAAGAGCTGATGACAGAAATAGTGAAAAATAGCCTAGACATTATGAAAAAAAGGCCCAAAGACTGGAAAATACATTTGAAATAAACAATGAGTGACTGTGAAAGAAGACATACGCACAAGAAGATGGTGAAAGAATGAGACAATAACAAGAGAAACAGAAGAGCAACATAGAGGAGGATGGGGAGCGTAGGAAGGCAGCAAGATTGATTTCCTCCCCTCCTCTCTTTCTCTCTGGAACGGCTCCCTAAAGTCTTTGGATTAATGGCTCCATTTCTGCTGCTCATTCATCAGATTCAGGAAAGCATCCCAAAACACAATGCTTCACTAGGATCTCGTCTGAACTAGATATCTACCTGCCAAAACATCCAATAGGCACTTAAGTACTTTCAAAGGCAGGCAAAACAACTTTATATCTACCTCAGGTCAGATCAGCAGGGAGCCGGTACTATCCACGGCACGTTAGCTTGTTAGCAGACATTGTGTGATCACAGTTCAGCCATGAGTTGTAGAAAAGTCAATCCCATTGCTAAAAGTCTACGGTTTTGTTATCATACATTTAACCAGGTATTATCTTACTGTAGATATGTTTTTTGAGATCAGCTCCGTTAAAGACTCTGCAGTTTATGCGTTAAACCAGATATTTCCATAGCAGTCCTTTGTCCAAAAACACCTTTTTCGTGCGCTGTGCTCTTTATTTGAGGACAATCTGGTGATAGTATCGTTCTGACACAAACTAACTCATCCATGACTGTTGAGGTCATTCATGTACCTACATTATCCAAACCATTTACAGTAGTAGAAGTTATGGCTGCAAACAAATCTATGCCAATAAATACAATTCATTTCGGCCTATAAGTCTCCTGGTTCACGATTATAAGGTTATCACTCAGTTATTAGCCAAACGACTGGAAACTACCTTACCTCAGGTTTTGTAAAGGGCAGAAACTCTTCTGACAATATACTGTAAGGAGACATCTGGACACCTGCCGGAGGCTTTCTCTGCTTCTTTCTTTAGATACCGAGAAGGCTTATGACGGGGCAGAGTGGCATTTTCTTTTTGCTGTTTTAAATAGATGTAATATGGGCTCTAGGTTCATAGAGTGGTTCAAATCAATTCATCACAATCCTAAAGCAGCAGTCATTACTAATGGCAGCTTCTCTGATGTGTTTTCATTAACAAGGGGAACAAGACAGGGGCGTCTGTCACCTTTGCTTTTTGCTATGGTGATTGAACCACTGGCGCCATGTGTGCGAGATAACACAAGTAATAAAGGAATGAAGATGAATGGTTAACACAGCATTTCTTTGTATGCTGCCGATATCACTCCTTACTTAACAGACCCAGAAAATGTACACGACACAATTCAGAAGATACTCAGGATATCAAATCTATTTAAAGACATCTAATGCTTGTTTCTTACATTTTACACACCACAGAAAACATGCCGTTGAGTTCTATTCATAGTTCATGTTGTTTTGTAGGCTAAAAGCCACTGGCCAGCAGTAGCCTCTGTTGTCATTTTAATGGGATATCAAGGGCCACTTGTATCCCCTGGTCCTCCATAGCTAGAGGCAGGCCACGTCTGGCTGCAACATGCCTCACGCTCTGGCTTTGTCACATTGTGCGCCAGCTGTGCCATCTGAACTGCCCTTTCACAGTGTGTGATAGCTAACACGCCAACTCTTGACCCATTCTGATTAATGAGGGTGGAAGCCTCGCCCAGTGCTGGGCCATGTCCCTGTGGAGCTTTGATTGTTCTTCCTCCATGCATACAAAACTCACCTCTTTTCCTTCCATCTGTCCATTGATGTATTGTTTTGTATTCACTGTAAGTCTACCCAGTTACAAATCTCCTTATCAATTTGTCTCTCATCCAGATAGACATTAAAGTGACACTGGTGCAATATCTGACCACTGTTTTTCTGTTTCATTTTGTTGAGTCTAGCTCCTTCACCCACCCAAACAAAAATTAGCAATCTGTTTAGAGGAGGCCCAACTGAGCCCTGACCAGATTATTACATTTGGTATTATTAAAGATTATCCTCCTCACACCCAATTGAACAACCACCAGATTAAGTAGGCGGTAGTTATGGTTGGAGAGAGGGATTTGCTGATATTTGTTGTTTATTGGCCGGTTAATCTCCAGAACTCTGTGTCAATATTAGATTTAGCTAACATGGTTAGAGTCTTTGCGAAAGAGGTATTTCAGTGAGAGGAACTTTGATTTATTGCCATTCTTGGGGAAAATTGCTTATTTAAATTGTTTCTCTGCGGCTCAGTGATGAGTGATTATGTCTCCGTAATTGGAGGATTAACAGTGTGTGCGTTCATTATAGGTACATTACTTGATCTGTTAAAGCATGCACAATAACAAGTTAGTCCACATTTGTTCTTTACAGGGGTTTGACTCTGAAAACAAAGGCCTGAGGTTTTGCCGACCAATGGATGATCAGGCTGTCTATAAAGGCATCCACATACTAAATATGCCATTGCTGTTCATAGATTCCATTTTATTACCACAAGGTTCAGTTATGAGGGTTTGGGGGCACTGGGAAGCACTGTAACCCAGCATGCACTTGGTTTCAATGCTTTAGTATCTCAATGTTTATCTGCCCCCCAGATTTTTGTTTAATCCACTACGAGGTTTGTGAAATGGGATTAAGGGTTAGGGTCAGGGTTTCCCACCAGAAAAACAGACAGACAAGTAATTATATTACCTAAGAGGACATTTTAAGAATTGTTTGTCATAATTGGTAGTTTGACGACATGCCCACGTTCCCTAATAGAATGAAAATACAGCAGCCAGAGTCAGCCCATCTGCCTCAGTCTCAGTCGGGAGTAGACTTGTCTTTCCTGAGGACAGTATGTGAGCTGTGTGAAAGCATATTGCCTGCTGTGCTGACCTGAAGATTGGGTCATACGTTGGGTAAATCAGCCCCCCCCCCAGCTTCCCTGGCTGCCAACTGTCAGTCTGCCACGGTCTTATCCAGGAGTGCCACATTACTTTAGAAGCTTTGGTCTTTTAAGTACAGACATAGACTCTTTAAACCATAAAGCACCCCAGGGAGCCTAAAGACTGCCCCCCAAACTCACATACACTCACACACACATTTGCAAGAACGCTAACAAACAGCATTGTCTTTCGTCTAAGATGGCCTCTAAGATGGCTAATCCATAATGCTGTGATCTAATCTTGTCTCATAAGGCTGATCTTATATTTAAGTAGCTTGTTTGAACAATCTCATAATGCGCTCAACGATCTTCATACAAATCTTGTGATTTTGAGGAAAGGCTTAAGTCTTCTTTTAAATTAATGAAATTGATGCCTCCTAATTAGGCCTCAAACCTTTTTGAGGCCTTTTTGAGGTTTGTTTTTAAAACATTTATTTTTAATTTTGGACAGATGGATTGATTTTGGAGAATTTCAAAAGAGACAGCATTATGGTATCAAAACTTGACTATATTATGACGTTTAGGGGTAAAAAGGTCATCCTAACAATTGGAATGAATTACATATCCTGCAAGCACTCTTAAGCGGGTTAATTTGTCTTTAAACTAAAATTAAGGATAAACTGGAAAATAAGTTATCTATCTCTAATCTAGAGATTGACTGTAAAGGTTTTATGAGTTTTAAAACCTTACATTTGAAACTTTATAGGAAAATCCTGCCAGTGCTCCGTTCTTGGGAACAACAGAATCCCCTGAAATGTCACAAAGGCATTAGTTGTTCTTCCAACCATCATTAGTTATAATGAATGAGTTTTTACTTCAATGCCCACACTCTTTTCACCTATGTCTGTTCTCTTTTTATTTTGCCGATCAAACATACTGTGAGTAAAGTTCTCCTTTTTAGCGGAAAAATACAGCTAAGATAGTTTCTGTAATTATGCAATGACCTGTTTCGGTTGCCTTCGGTAGCTGATAGAATCTAATTAGGAAGACAGAGGGATTGGTTTGAACACGCTTATTAGTGTGCAGTCAGTCGTGGTACACAAACCTGGGGAGGAGAGCCCAACATATGGGTGGATCAATGCTGTGTGTGTGTGTGTGTGTGTGTGTGTGTGTGTGTGTGTGTGTGTGTGTGTGTGTGTGTGTGTGTGTGTGTGTGTGTGTGTGTGTGTGTGTGTGTGTGTGTGTGTGTGTGTGTGTGTGTGTGTGTGTGTGTGTGTGTGTGTGTGTGTGTGTGTGTGTGTGTGTGTGTGTGTGTGTGTGTTGTTTGGCCATGTGTGTGTGGGCAGGTTTAAGCTGCTGTGTGTGTGTGAGTGACACATGGGAAAGGCAGTAATAACTACTCTAAATGTCTGCAGATCTATAAAGGAACGTTCTTGATCAACTCTGAGCATGGCACCGAACCAAATATGATAATGGGAATTATTCTGTCACATTCTGCTCCAAAATGTTATTAGGATATGTTTTTTTAAAAGCCTAGAGAATCTTTGACTGATCATTATTTGGTTTCTTCCCAATGTGTTTCCTCATGAGATGGTTCAGTGGAATCCGTGACTCAGCAGTGTCTTCTTGAATCAACCTTCCTCCTCAGACCAATAATACACTCTTTGTCTCTGTTCATTTCCCCTCCAGATCCGGTCCATGGTCCCCAAACTGTCAACGTGGTGGATGTCAGAGCGCGGCAGCTGACTATACAGTGGGAGACGTTTGGGTATGCAGTGACACGCTGCCACAGCTACAATCTGACGGTACGCACCACTACACACAATCTGTGCCGCGACTATGAACTCAGAAGTGCAGGTTTCGTTTAGTGTACATTCATTTGTTGCCACCATGAGAGCATTAGGTGAACAGTACAAATTGGTGGCACATACAGTACCAGTACCCATTTACTTGAAACATTTAAATACATTTCGGCAAGTGCATTAGATTAATTACAACTTTTAAAGTTCACTGACGTACAACAACAAAGAATATCTTAGTAGAACAAAAGTTGTATGACTGGTGCAGAAATGAGTCCTAAAACCAGAAATGATTTAGTATTTGACTTCTTCCAGTTCCCTCGTCTCGAAGTCAACAGTATTTTGAACTTGAAATAAGATCTATGGTTAACACAAGCCTACAAGAGGTTCACGTTTGGTTCTACGACATAAAATACATCAGAAGTGATCGTTCCTAATAAGTGAGTGAATGAAACTACTGAATGTCATAACGCCAACGCAAGTCCGTCTTTAGCTTAGCGGTGCATTTTTATCGAGGGAAAACCTTTCTATGTTTACTTCCTGGTCGTCTAGTAAGTGAACATATTAAAGTATTGAAGGAGCCAGTAACCTTAGAAATGCTAACACATTTGAATACATTGTCTCTATTCAGACTCTTGAAGCACCACTGCCTCAGGTTCACGTGTGATCTGTAATAATCATTAAGCCTGAATATTAAAATCACAATGTTCTCTTGTTCTTAATGTTCTAAGTGTTCTTGTTTCGTCAGAGCTTTCCAGAGTTTAGTACATCAAGTGAGGGCAGCTCTGCCTTTGTAATCATTGTCTCTAACCAACTCCCAGTGGAATAAAGGTCCTGTCGGCCTCTGCTCCCCAGGTGCAGTACCAGTATGTGTTCAACCAGCAGGAGTTTTCAGCAGAGGAGTTGATCCAGACATCGTCACATTACACTCTGAGGGGACTCCGGCCTTTTGTGGAGGTCAGACTGAGGCTGGTGCTGGCCAACCCCGAAGGCAGCAAGGAGAGCGAGGAGATAGTCAAACAGACAGAGGAGGACGGTGAGTCAGAACATACTCAAATGATGTAACAGCCAACTGTACACAATATATTGATCCAACCTATAACCAGACAGTTCAAGGGAGCTTGAACTACTCCGACTACTCAGTGTCTGGCTCACAGAAAGTCCCTCAGAAAGTCATAACATGCCTGACCATGACAACAGCAGTTGTTTAGAATAAATGGAAGGAGCAATGGCCACCTAAAGTTTATACCGAGACACAAATGATTCACCCAATTCTGTTGCTTTAGAGACTTTTATGGCCTCTTTATTGATCTTGTTTTTGCATTGATTCTGTCTTAGTCAGTGACTAAGTCAGTGCTTCTCAATAAGATATGTTGGCAGCTGTCAAGCAGCATAATCTGGATCATTTTTGCTACATGCCCATCATAAAGTTGACCGATAAAATAAGCAACTCTCTGTAGAAGAATGTGGAAAATCCAGCAACTAAAGGGACAGATCATATTTGTAGGGTTGTCATAAACCTTAAGAAAGCGTGACCCTGCAACATCCATATCTGCACCAATCAACAGCTGCTCTCATCACTGTGCCCTTTGGCTAGAGATCTACACAGGCTGTACTCACATACTTTATTAATGTATCACATACAAAGTACCCAAGGAGTTCAATTGACTTCAAAACAACATTTGAAACTCCTCTTTCCTTTCCAGAGGGCTCCATGTTCCACTAATTCGGAACAGAGAGTTTGCCCCAGCCTCTGCTACTAATAATTCATTGATGCTTTACATTCCTCTCAACAACATGCCCTGCGATAAACTTGAATTACACAAATCCATTCGAGCAATCCTTGATCAGCAGGATCAAAACGTTGTTTTAATGATAGTAAATCTCATCTCTTTCCCACCCTCCTCAGGGCACACTCTTCTGATCTCATGACTAATACCCTCTGAATTTAGCTTCTGGGGAACATCTCGTCTCAGCCTGAAATTCCTACTCTTCACTGGCTGAACACACACATACTGCACGTTTTCTATATTGAGTTAACATGACAGGGGAGAATCGATTGCTTTGGGGGCTGAAGAAAAAAAAGCCTTAATTGTTTTGTGCTTAATTGTTTTTTATTTAACCGTCGTTAATCTCCTGGTTGTAATTCAGTAATTAGGGAACACAACAGCAATTGTTCACACAGAGTCTAATTGCTGTTTGTACGGTAATGGCTTTATAGAGCTGCTGCTCCTGCGGATGAAGCGGCTTCTCCTACACACACACATACTTACTTGTAAAGGTTGTAGATGAAATTGAAGTTTACCTTAAGCTATGCAAATGGGAAACATGATGGATTTTCAATTCAGATATAATACCACTTTTGGATCATGCTTCTCAGGTTTTTAATTGTTTCACTGAAAGCTGCACTTTTAACATTTACTACATATTATAATGCACACACACACAATACACGCAGTACCGTTAACATGTTGAGTGTTTCGCTGTAAAGAATCCTGCATTGTTAGTTTTGTACACATATTATTGTAGAACATTGTGCTAAATTAGGGTTATCAGTTAAGGATTGTCCATGTTTACTTTAAAAACGTTTATTAAGTCTTATTGTCTTGTAGTGTGTTATATGACTTGTGTGCATGTAAATGGTCTACAAAGGCTTAAATCCCAAAGTTCCCTGTGTGGGAGTTTTCTCTCCCACACACAGACAGTATGAGAACATTACAGAGCTTTTTGAACATTAAAGCACAGACACATGTCACAGTAGAGGCACTAAATACATATATGAACCTGAAAATGAGCAATATAAGGCCCCTTTAATGTCTATACACCCAAATGGTATAGCACACATATTTACTGTGATGCTAACAGTATTGTAGACGTACACATGTGAAATGCATGTTGTTCTTCTTTCACACTATTCATTTGTCCATCCATTCCTAGAGACAAAAGACAATGTGAAGAGAATGTGAAGACACACACACACACACACACACACACACCACACACACACACACCACACACACACACACACACACACCACACACACACCACACACAACACACACACACACACACACACACACACACACACACACACACACACACACACATGCCTGAAAGACAAATGTCATGTCCACTCATTGTACACACCAGCCTATTAACCTGAGCATGAACACATAATTGTCAGGTAGCTGTCAGGTCAGCTCAATACATCAGCCAGAACTCTTATGCATCAAATATGTGCCAGAGGAAGTCAGTGTAGCCTTCCTTTACACATTCTGCTCACTAAGAACTATGTTAGATATCAATACATTACATTTTTCATTTAGATGACAATTTTATCCAGAGCAACTTACAAAGCCTTTTACAGAGATCAGATACCATAGGCCATGCCTACGGCCACAGTTTGGGATTCAGTTTGCCCAAGGACCCTTTCACATGTTGAATGCAAACACTGGTGATTGAACCACTAACAGTCTCTGAACCCCCTGAGCCACAGCCGCCCCATAACAGACTGTGTTGCTCAGCAACATAATGCAAAATGCACACCTTTTTTTTGTTATTTGTATCAACAGACTATCATCTAAATGTCCCTGAGCAAACCTTTTAAGATTCCAGCTGCTGCTCCATGGCCCTAGCTGCAATTGTAGTAAACTGAGATTAGTTCCCAATAAATTGGTGTGGATGGGAGAATGTTGGCTTCGAGGAATGGCTTATATAAAACCAAAGTCATCGTCAATATTTTATATTACATTTTTCTTTCCTGATATGACAAGTTGAAATGCAAGCAATGACATGGGTTATGAGAATAATCCAATAAAAACAAGCCCCGAACAAATGTTATCAAAGCTGCCTATAAACTAACTACTCATCAATATTAAATCAACAACTATTTAGCGTGGTTGCCTTTTGACAGTGTAATAAAGATACGTTTTAACTTAAAGATGCCTGATGTAGTTTAAACAAAGAAAGTCATGTTTACAGTCAGTGTAGCTCCCCAATTAGCATATTGTTTAGCGAAAGTCCAACACATATTAATGTATTTTTAAATTAAATTAACGGAGGTTTCTTTTTTCGTTGATACAATTGTGTAATACCATATTTTAGTTGAGTTCATGCTTGGATTTTATTTATTGCTTTGGATCAGCATGTTAGTGAAGAAAACACACTTATATTGTGTTTTAATGTAAGGGCTCTTCATGCCTATTTTCTAGAGAATTAATGATAAAGCCTCACAAAAGAACTAATTAAACTGTGTTATACTTATAATAAAGTAAAACAAAATAAGAGTTAATGTCTTAAATAGCAATACAAACATTAGGCGCTTTGAAAACGCAGTACTTTTCCCCACTTTAGTTCCGATATAGTTCCGAAATGTTGCGTTCACACCAAAAAAATCCGGAACTAAAATGAGTAAATGAGAACCTTTTCACCCCCTTTTCCGTCCCTGCTAGAGAGCAGGGACTTTCGTGGGAGAAAAAGGTTCCTATTTCTGATTGGCTGGGCGGATTCCAAACCACGCCCCGTAAAACTCCAAATAAGTTTTGTGAAGCCGCCATTTTATTATCCTCGCATTAGCATTATTAGCATTAGCCCAGCGCAGAAACGCAGAGAGACTAATTTATGGCAACACAAAAGAAAACATGGGAGCGGTGGAGATGAGGAGGTGTCGGCGTTCTGGCGATTTACTCGGGGACTTCGGGCGGCAGTATACGCCGTGAAGTGGTTTGCAGCCTGCCAGTAAACCCAAAGCAGAAGAAGAAGAAGTGATGTCAGCGCCTTCATTTGCCTCCCCCAGGGACTTATTCCGGTGTGAACCATAGACTGTATAGGTGTGAACGCGATATGTACTTAGTTCATGAGAACTCTTTAGTTAATATAAGTTCTGATGAACCTTTGTGGGAAAAGTACTGCAGTGTGAAAGCGCCTAATGTGTTATGCATGTTGATGCTACCATTTATGAAAACAACAAAATGTATGTTGTTTTCCAGTGTATCCTTTCAGTGGTTACAAATGTTTCAAAGTCAAACAGCAGATATTAAATATAAAAATACTGATCTGTAATCCCTATGTTTGTGTCATGTTTATATCTTTATAAATACCACATTCCTATTAAAGAGCAACGGTCCCCTCACTCAAAGGACATTAACAGTCGTCGAGATGTAATAATCCTTTTATCTTCAGAGCAGTGGGTGATTCTAAGATCACAGTGAAAGAGAAACAACAATCAGATACACCAGCTTTGTTATTTTTCCCTTTATTTCTCAACAGCTGTCACTTTTCCAAAAAAGACAATTCACCAAAGTGCATTTAGTCATAGAAGTGCACTCGTTATGTATGTGCTTTTAATTATTTTCACCGTGTTTAGTATTCTATGATCATTTGCTCTCAAAATTAACAGACAAAGTCGTTTTATGTGGAGCCTTTTTAGTGCTTATTCAGGTTAACATGTTGACACATCATTTTGTACTTAACATTTCAAAGACTGCAAACAAAGAGTGCATCTTTGACTTTTAAAAGCACCTTGTTTGTTGTCAGGTAGCGTTTATGGAGATGACACTGTGATATTTGAATGTTAAAATAGGGAACCACAACATGTTAAATCCAAAGGTTCCACTCATCTGCTTTTTATACAGAGCACCTGCTCATGCTAAAGAGACATTCCTGCTTTAATTTAATACCAAAGTAAATACAGTCTGGTCTTTGATCATAACAATTTATACAAAGCTGCGGTGCAATCCTTAGCAAAAAATCTAAATGTAATCTTAATCCTGTCCACCAGCACTACTAGTAATTCCTTCCCGCTTGCTTTTCATCAAGATGTGTTTATTTGTTCCATGGGAGGATCAACGTCGTCAACAGTGATGAAATCTTGAACAACACCAAAATGGCTCTGTGAACATATTGATACACCGTGGATTATTCCAGAAATGCGTGTAAACATGAGAAAGAAATAGGTATTTTTATCCCAAAATGACATTACATTGATTTAAAAAAAAAGGATAAATCTTAGCTGAGTTTAAAGACGACATATTCTGCT